ATAGTAAGGAGTGATTTGTATCATGTTGGAAATTTAAGTTTAAATTCTTCACTGTCATTTTAATAGATCATAATTTTAAATTTTAATAGATCATACTTGCTATTATTTGGTAGAGTCTCACTTAATGTTATATTAATTTTGTTTAATAACACTTTTTGGTATTTTACCTTTTGATTTTTATGTTTTTTTTTAATTTTAAAATATATAAAATAAAATAAAATATTTTACTGTCACATGAGTTACCAATATTATATGAAAGTATAATAATTTAAAATCTATATTGATTGATTATGGTAAAGTCAAATATCTTAATACCTTATATTTTTGTGCTTTTATTTCAAATTGTTATTTTATTTTAATTACTTCATCAATTTCAAAATAACTATTATTTTTTATTTTGAATTTATCTTAAATTGATTGTCATTTTTTTTAAAGTAGACAAATATTTTGTTCGTACTTTAATTCTATCATTGTTTATTCATTTTTCAATCACATAAATTTTTTTTAATCTTTTATTTCTTTTTTAAAAATATTCTAAATAAATATAAATATTGTCCCAAATTCTTAATTTAGAGAAAATGTCAAAAAGTGATAGTTATTTTGAGACAAAGATAGTAATTTTAGTTAAAATTTCTTCTTTTCTAATTGTTCAAATGATTTTAAAATTAATTATTTTTAGAATTTAATTAATCATAATCTTTATGAAAAAAAATATTTTATTTATCACTTTATTACATGAACTAGTAATGCACTCGTCAGTAATTTTAGCATATCATATTATAAATTTAGAATTATAACTATCGTTTAATAATTAATTCTTTTACCTAATTAGGAATCTATAAATAATATTATATATTTACTCTTTTAATAATACATTATAATTTTAAATTTATAATTTTACATAAAAATGTTAATATATTATTGCAAGAAAAAGATTATACCACTAAATAATACAAAACAATTTATTAAGTTAATTTGAGGTTAGCGTTGGTTTGCAAAAAAAATGATATCACTTTAAAAAATATTTTCTTTTCTTTTTTTAAAAAAATATATTCCTTGATATGGTTGACTCCAAAAAAAATGTTTCATTGGTTTGTATTGAAAATCTTCAAATCTATCACTTGAACCATACTTCTTTCTATTTTTGGTTGGAAATCGCTTGAGCCATACTAAACAAGGAGAAAACTGAGGACTTATTTGAAAGAAATTTAAAATTTTGAGAACTTAATTAGGAATTTTAGCCCGCCCCACGTGCCCTTAGTTATGGAAAAGTCTTCTTCTTCTTTTTTTTTTAAATCTTTTTTTTTATTATGAAATTTGTTGACGGCAAAGCAAAGAATTTTTTTTTTACCAATAACATATTGATCTGATTAGAAAGAATTTGGTTTTCAAATAAAATTTTAAATTTGAATCTTATGAATAAAGAAATAAGTGTTGAGAGAGTTGAGAACTTCTCCTCCTATAAAATTTGATACAATTTAATTCTAAATTAATTGGGTTGATATAATTTTCCGAATACTATAAAAAAAAAACCCCCTTTTTTGGGAAAGTGCTTAAAAGTTGAAACCCAAATCATGGCTGGCCCAATAAAATAGTTACTCCTAGACCCAATCCATATTCGGCCCAAGAAACCGACGGACGACCACGGTTAAAGAAATTCGACCGCTGGCGACATTTCTTTCCTCGAAAAACCCTTCGCCATTTTTTGCCGTAAAACAAAACCCTTGTCCGTCGTCCGCCTTCCAAAACGCCTTAGTTTGAGCTATCAATGTCCGCCAGGAGAGTTTCGGTCTTCACACTCAACTCCATCGCAGCTTTATCCAAGGTAA